CAGGATAACCCAGGTTAGGGAGGGCTAGTCACCCAGGATAACCCAGGGTAGGGAGGGGTAGCCACCCAGGATAACCCAGGGTAGGGAGGGCTAGTCATCCAGGATAACCCAGGGTAGGGAGGGTTAGCCACCCAGGATAACCCAGGGTAGGGAAGGCTAGTCACCAAGGATAACCCAGGGTAGGGAGGGGTAGCCACCCAGGATAACCTAGGGTAGGGAGGGTTAGCCCACCCAGGATAACCCAGGGTAGGGCAGGGCTAAAAAAAATCACAAAGGATAACCCAGGGTAGGTAGGGTTAGCCACCCAGGGTAGGTAGGGTTAGCCACCCAGGATAACCCAGGGTAGGGAGTGTTACCCACCCAGGATAACCCAGGGTAGGGAGGGTTAGCCACCCAGGATAACCCAGGGTAGGGAGGGGTAGCCACCCAGGATAACCCAGGGTAGGGAGGGGTAGCCACCCAGGATAACCCAGGGTAGGGAGGGTTAGCCACCCAGGATAACCCAGTGTAGGGAGGGTTAGCCACCCAGGATAACCCAGGGTAGGGAGGGTTAGCCACCCAGGATAACCCAGGGTAGGGAGGGTTAGCCACCCAGGATAACCAGGGTAGGGAGGGTTAGCCACCCAGGATAACCCAGGGTAGGGAGGGTTAGCCACCCAGGATAACCCAGGGTAGGGAGGGTTAGCCACCCAGGATAACCCAGGGTAGGGGGGGTTAGTCACCCAGGATAACCCAGGGTAGGGAGGGCTAGTCACCCAGGATAACCCAAGGAAGGGAGGGTGAGCCATCCAGGATAACCCAGGGAAGGGAGGGTTAGCCACCCAGGATAACCCAGGGTAGGGCGTGTTACCCACCCAGGATAACCCAGGGTAGGGAGGGTTAGCCACCCAGGATAACCCAGGGTAGGGAGGGTTAGCCACCCAGGATAACCCAGGGTAGGGATGGGTAGCCACCCAGGATAACCCAGGGTAGGGAGGGTTAGCCACCCAGGATAACCCAGGGTAGGGAGGGTTAGCTACCCAGGATAACCCAGGGTAGGGAGGGTTAGCCACCCAGGATAACCCAGGTAGGGAGGGTTAGCCACCCAGGATAACCCAGGGTAGGGAGGGTTAGCCACCCAGGATAACCCAGGGTAGGGGGGTTAGCCACCCAGGATAACCCAGGGTAGGGAGGGTTAGCCACCCAGGATAACCCAGGGTAGGGAGGGTTAGCCACCCAGGATAACCCAGGGTAGGGAGGGTTAGCCACCCAGGATAACCCAGGGTAGGGGGGGTTAGTCACCCAGGATAACCCAGGGTAGGGAGGGCTAGTCACCCAGGATAACCCAAGGAAGGGAGGGTTAGCCATCCAGGATAACCCAGGGTAGGGAGGGTTAGCCACCCAGGATAACCCAGGGTAGGGAGGGTTGGCCACCCTGGATAACCCAGGGTAGGGAGGGTTGGCCACCCTGGATGACCCAGGGTAGGGAGGGTTGGCCACCCTGGATAACTCAGGGTAGGGAGGGTTAGCCACCCAGGATAACCCAGGGTAGGGAGGGTTGGCCACCCTGGATAACCCAGGGTAGGAGGGTTGGCCACCCTGGATAACCCAGGGTAGGGAGGGTTAGCCACCCTGGATAACCCAGGGTGGGGAGGGTTAGCCACCCTGGATAACCCTGGGTAGGAAGGGTTAACCACCCAGGATAACCACGGGTAGGGAGGGTTAGCCACCCAGGATAACCACGGGTAGGGAGGGTTAGCCACCCAGGATAACCCAGGGAAGGGAGGGTTACCCACCCAGGATAACCCAGGGTAGGGAGGGTTACCCATCCAGGATAACCCAGGGTAGGGAGGGTTAGCCACCCAGGATAACCCAGGGTAGGGAGGGTTAGCCACCCAGGATAACCCAGGGTAGGGAGGGTTAGCCACCCAGGATAACCCAGGGTAGGAGGGTTAGCCACCCAGGATAACCCAGGGTAGGGAGGGTTAGCCACCCAGGATAACCCAGGGTAGGGAGGGTTAGCCACCCTGGATAACCCAGGGTAGGGACGGTTAGCCACCCTGGATAACCCAGGGTAGGGAGGGTTAGCCACCCTGGATAACCCAGGGTAGGGAGGGTTAACCACCCTAGATAACCCAGGGTAGGGAGGGTTAACCACCCAGGATAACCACGGGTAGGGAGGGTTAGCCACCCAGGATAACCACGGGTAGGGAGGGTTAGCCACCCAGGATAACCCAGGGTAGGGAGGGTTAGCCACCCAGGATAACCCAGGGTAGGGAGGGTTAACCACCCAGGATAACCCAGGGTAGGGAGGGTTAACCACCCAGGATAACCCAGGGTAGGGAGGGTTAACCACCCAGGATAACCCAGGGTAGGGAGGGTTAGCCACCCAGGATAACCCAGGGTAGGGAGGGTTAGCCACCCAGTATAACCCTGGGTAGGGAGGGTTAGCCACCCAGGATAACCCAGGGTAGGGAGAGTTAGCCACCCAGTATAACCCAGGGTAGGGAGGGTTAGCCACCCAGTATAACCCAGGGTAGGTAGGGTTAGCCACCCAGTATAACCCAGGGTAGGGAGGGTTAGCCACCCAGGATAACCCAGGGTAGGGAGGGTTAGCCACCCAGTATAACCCAGGGTAGGGAGGGTTAGCCTCCCAGTATAACCCAGGGTAGGGAGGGTTAGCCACCCAGGATAACCCAGGGTAGGGAGGGTTAACCACCCAGGTTAACACAAGGTAGGGAGGGTTAGCCACCCAGGATAACCACGGGTAGGGAGGGTTAGCCACCCAGGATAACCCAGGGTAGGGAGGGTTAGCTACCCAGGATAACCCAGGGTAGGGAGGGTTAGTCACCCAGGATAACCCAGGGTAGGGAGGGTTAGCTACCCAGGATAACCCAGGGTAGGGAGGGTTAGTCACCCAGGATAACCCTGGGTAGGGAGGGTTAGCCACCCAGGATAACCCAGGGTAGGGAGGGTTAGCCACCCAGTATAACCCAGGGTAGGGAGGGTTAGCCACCCAGGATAACCCAGGGTAGGGAGGGTTAGCCACCCAGTATAACCCAGGGTAGGTAGGGTTAGCCACCCAGGATAACCCAGGGTAGGGAGGGTTAGCCACCCAGTATAACCCAGGGTAGGGAGGGTTAGCCACCCAGGGTAGGGAGGGTTAACCACCCAGGATAACCCAGGGTAGGGAGGGTTAGCCACCCAGGATAACTCAGGGTAGGGAGGGTTAGCCACCCAGGATAACCCAGGGTAGGGAGGGTTAGCCACCCAGGATAACCCAGGGTAGGGAGGGTTAACCACCCAGGATAACCCAGGGTAGGGAGGGTTAACCACCCAGGATAACCCAGGGTAGGGAGGGTTAACCACCCAGGATAACCCAGGGTAGGGAGGGTTAACCACCCAAGATAACCCAGGGTAGGGAGGGTTAGCCACCCAGGATAACCCAGGGTAGGGAGGGTTAGCCACCCAGGATAACCCAGGGTAATGAGGGTTAGCCACCCTGGATAACCCAGGGTAGGGAGGGTTAGCCACCCAGGATAACCCAGGGTAGGGAGGGTTAGCCACCCTGGATAACCCAGGGTAGGGAGGGTTTGCCACCCTGGATAACCCAGGGTAGGGAGGGTTAGCCACCCAGGATAACCCAGGGTAGGGAGGGTTAGCCACCCTGGATAACCCAGGGTAGGGAGGGTTAGCCACCCTGGATAACCCAGGATAGGAAGGGTTAGCCACCCTGGATATCCCAGGGTAGGGAGGGTTAGCCACCCAGGATAACCCAGGGTAGGGAGGGTTAGCCACCCAGGATAACCCAGGGTAGGGAGGGTTAGCCACCCAGGATAACCCAGGGTATGGAGGGTTAGCCACCCAGGGTAGGGAGGGTTAGCCACCCAGGATAACCCAGGGTAGGGAGGGTTAGCCACCCTGGATAACCCAGGGTAAGGAGGGTTAGCCACCCTGGATAACCCAGGGTAGGGAGGGTTAACCACCCAGGATAACCCAGGGTAGGGAGGGTTAGCCACCCAGGATAACCCAGGGTAGGGAGGGTTAGCCACCCTGGATAACCCAGGGTAGGGAGGGTTAGCCACCCTGGATAACCCAGGGTAAGGAGGGTTAGCCACCCAGGATAACCCAGGGTAGGGAGGGTTAGCCACCCTGGATAACCCAGGGTAAGGAGGGTTAGCCACCCAGGATAACCCAGGGTAGGGAGGGTTAGCCACCCAGGATAACCCAGGGTAGGGAGGGTTAGCCACCCAGGATAACCTAAGAAAGTCAGGGCGTTATCGAGGACTGTCCGTCTTATTTGCACTGTGGTCCTTCAATCTTGTTCCCCAGGATGCAACCCACACCAGTCCACTAACACCCAGGTACCTGCTTACTGCTAGGTGATCAGTGACAGCAGGCGCAAGCAAACAAGACCCGTGCCGGGGATCGAACCACTGACACTCAGCGCCTGAGGTGAGTGCGCTACAAAGCCACAGGTACCAAAAAAAAAAAACTATTATTATTATTTGAGCGCTAAACCCAAAAGGCTCAAACAGCACCTGGGGGACTGGGAGGCAATAACAGTAGATCCAAGGATGAGCTCACGTCTAACTCCTCGGATCAAGAGCCCCTCACCAGCGTCCAGGTTTAAATCAGACATTACAAGGACCTTAATGGAAATAAGTCACTCTGACTTATTTTGGGGTTATCCTAGGCAATCTACACATATACTGCTATGTATGATAATTCATGTAACTGTATTTATGTGTACCTGTACCTAAATACATTATTATTATTATAATCAAGGGGGAAGCGCTAAACCCGGAGGATTATACAGCGCCTGGGGGGGGGGATGTGGAAGGCATTCAGGCTTAATTCTCGGAACTGGAGCATAGATCCAATTCCCTAAATCAAGAGCCCCTCACCAACATCAAGGAACCTTCCTTGAGGGGTACCTAAATACAACTTACAGTCGAACCACTCATAGAAACATTAACTACGTGAGGTGTAGATAACTATGAAAGGTGTATTTAACTCACCAATATATGGTACCTGGCGGTACCAAGCCTTGTAGAGGTTCAGTACCCTCTTTCTAGCCTCACTCTGGTCCACAGACAGCAGAGGTTTGACCTGCCTTGCACCACTCTTGACCACCCTAGACGCCATCTTCCTTACTCAGCTACTGTTGTTGCTGGGTGACGAGGTTCACACGGCCCGAGGACCCTGGGTTGTAGGGTTCACACGGCCCGAGGACCCTGGGTTGTAGGGTTCACACGGCCCGACGACCCTGGGTTGTAGGGTTTACATGGCCCGAGGACCCTGGGTTGTAGGGTTTACATGGCCCGAGGACCCTGGGTTGTACGGTTCACACAGCCCAAGGATGTCACTACCGCCCGGCTCCGGCTGGGTTACAACTATCTATGGCAGGTTAAATCACCACCACCAGATATAGACCAAACGAAATGTAAACTTTGCCAGATGGACTATTGTCACAACTTGCGTCATTATGTACTGGAGTGTGATCATATTAATGAATTTAGAAACAACTCACTCAGAAATGTTCAAGAAATGGCAAAGTATTTTATCCACAGTGGTATATTACAGACCATTCTGGATAAATACCCTGACTTTGCTAGCTGTAAATAATGCATTAAGGGTAACAGAACTGGGCAGATCGCGCACCCTCATCCCTTGCACAGGGCGAATGAGTTAGTCAGTGCTTGGGCTGCTACATCTAGCTATGACAGTCTTCCCAGTACCACACAGGCGAAATTAATGGACAAATATGATGCAAGGGAGAGACTTGTTTGCTTTATGCTAAGCAAGGCAGATGACTGCAACATTCCTTTCACTAATTATGAACTTGATGCAGCACTAACTAAGGGCAACTCCACGTCGCCTGATGAGGATGGTATTACTTACAACATACTCAGATTGCTGTGTCGAGTACCAGGTAATCCTTTACTTAAATTATATAACATGAGTTATGTCACTGGGGAGCTCCCTAAATCATGGACCAATAGCCTAATTATTCCCATTCCGAAGCCCAATCAACAAAACTCATTTTGCCCAATATCCCTTACTAGCTGCTTGTGTAAAACATTCGAAAGGATGATTCTTAATCGTCTTATGCACAGAATTAAGCAATTCTTGTCTCCCCGGTTGCATGGCTTCATGCATGGAAGGAGTGTGCATCATTGCATAGCCACCTTTCTCACTCTGCACACTGACAGCTCATACACTACCTTCCTTGACCTTAAATCCGCTTTTGATGTAGCCAACCGACATGTAATCATTAGTGAATTTGCCAGAATGGATGTTGGAGGATGGCTTCTCCGCTGGATTAAAGGCTACCTGTCCAACAGAAAGTCGTCTGTGTAACTAAAGACTTTGAATTAGGAACCCCACAGGGAGGTGTGCTCAGTCCCACACCATTCAATATTCTAATTAATGCATTACTTAATGCTATGCCTAGCCAGCCCCATCATTATATGATTAGTTTTCCTGAAGATATAATGATTCACACCACCGGATTCTCCAACACCCAAAACATTCTTAATCATGTACTAGCCTCGTGTCAGGACCTGGGGCTGATAATATCTACTGATAAAACAAAGATACTCAATAGGCGTCCTCCTCGACGGAGGCACAGTTCGTCAGATCCAGTTGCATGATGGGTCTCTTCTAGAATATGTAAGAAGATACAGGTATCTAGGCTTTGAGGTTCCACTACTTGGACCTGCTGTAACAAGACTTTGTCGCCAATACAAAGGAAGACTGAGTTGTGGCTGGGTTTCACCCCAGGTATGGTGCTAATGTTAAAATTGTGAAAATGATGTATCTTGCTTATATTAGATCATTGGTTGATTATGCTGCGCCACTACTTGCTCTTGTGTCTGACTGGAAGCTTGGAGGGCTGGAAAAACTGCAGAACGAAGCAATGAGGATCATTTTAGGATGCCCTCGTACTGCCAAAATTTTAAATATGCAAAAAGAACTTGGTATTCCAAGCACCAGAGATCGTGCTACTGAAAGAAATATCCTAATTGGGGTTAATATGCTCAGGCAAGCCCATTCAAACCCCTGCACAGAAGCCCTCCAAACTTTCCTCAGCACTGGTGAACACTCCTCCAGATGGATCGAAAAAACTGGAACCGACCTCCGCATGAATCAGATACATGATCTATGTCAAGTAAGGCAACAGCAGCACTTATCCGCTCCATGGGATATTATCCCATTCCAAACTAGCATTCCTCCATTTCCCCCCAAACTACTTCTTAAATCACAACCAAAACTTCGCCTTGAAGCCAAACACGATGCCTTAAGCTGTATTGATAACTTAGTCACACAGCACATACTCTCGCAAATTATTTACGTTGATGGTTCTGTTCAATCCACTGGTGCAGCAGGTAGTGCTGCTGTTGTACAGAGTGATGGCTCTCTTAAAGAAATTGGAGCACGAATCAATAATTGGGCCTCTACCCTTCAGACAGAACTGTTCGCCATACTCCTTGCACTGAAATGCATCTATGTATCTAAGATTGACAGTTTAATTGTAACTGACTCTCTTTCATCCATAAATGCTCTCAACTCATTAAGCATAAATTGTGGCATGCTTGTGTCAATAGCCAGACACAGGTATGGTAAGATTGTGGACAGTGGAGTCAGAGTGCACATGCTGTGGATTCCCTCTAACATTGGTCTTCGGATGCATGATAGAACTGATAAATTGGCTAAGCTGTATGCTTTCAAAGAGGGAGTAGATTACAATCTTGGTTTGTCAGGTAGTAGTTTGAGAACAATAATATGAAAAGAACTTCAACTGAATTTTATTTACTTAAGACTCAGGGGGATTGACACCATCGTCCCTCTATCATCATTCATCCAAAGGGAC